GGCTGTTGAAATTTAATAGGACTAGGGGAGTAGATGACAGCCCAGTATCAATTTTAACAGCTTGATTTTTAGGAATACATTGTATAACATAGGATATCTTTTTTTTTTTTCTAAATTTTTAAATACATTTGGGGATATCTTTTTTTTTTTTTTTTTTGGTGGGAAATACACAGTAAAATACTCAGTGATAGTGAAGTATCAGGTAAGCAGTTTTTTAAGAAACTTTGGTCCTAATTTTCTCCATTTGTGGTTCTTTCAAAATTACTGGAAAACATTGAATTTAGAACTTCCCACTGAGAAAAGACTAGTCCTAACTGGTTTCACTTGGTTCCTTCTATGAAGAACTTAAGGAATAGTTAAAGTCAATATAATACAAAATCTTTCATCAAATAGCAGAAGAAATACTTCCCAATTCATTTTTATGAGTGCAGCATAGTCAAATTAGACAAAGATATTATAAGAATAGAAAATTACAGACCAGTCTGCCTCATGAACACAGGTGCTAAAACCCTCCACAAAATATGAGCAAATCGATGCAGCAATATGTAACAGAATAGCAGGTCAACACGGTGGTGATGTGACCTTGGCGTTTGACTTAACTGCTCTGAACCCTGCTTTCCTCCTTCCCGCTTCCTGAGGAGAGTGCCTGGAATACCGTTGATGACAATTTCTCCATCCCCTTCTCAGTGGGAGGCATCGGAATTGGTTCAGTAACAGGGCTTCACCCCAGGGGGCACGGCCTTTGGATGAAAGAGCCGGAATGGTACCCGACTGGGAACAATGAGTTCCTGTCTTCCCAGGATTTGCTTCTGGAGCAATCACACCTGGTGACCACAGGCGGTGATGACAGAGCACGATGGCAGCACCCACAGTTCCCAAAGGAGCTTTTCCAGGTGCTGGGCCTGTCCTCAATAGAGCGAGGAGGGACACTCAACTCTTCAGGAAGGCCCCACCTGCTTGGGTCGTCAGACCTTGTTTCTGTTGCTTTAAACCAGCTCTTCTAATCGACATCAGAGCCTCATGTCTGACTTGGAGAGAAGACACGTGGAAGTGGGTGAGAAGGCAACACACTGAGGGACGGTTGGTTCCCTGAAAACTAGGAAGGGATGGGGAACCTGGGGGAGTGACCTCAGGGTGGGCAGTGGAGGCTGCGGCGTGTACATGAACAGCAGGTGAAAATACCCATTTTTGATGTCTGTCTGATCAGCTGACATTCCTTTCCTGTCCCACCAAAGAAAGGAGTGATGAGAGAGAATGAGAATAAGAGTGGCCGGATTTTGGATGGGGGTTGGGACCGCTGTGAAGCCTCACCTCTCTGTTTCTTTTGTGGCCTGTGTGTGGGTGCGCTGGCGAGGAGTGTGGGAAGATGCTCTTTCACCCCCCCAATGCATGTAATGGGCTTGGGGACCTCACATGGGACTGACTGAGTGTGTGAGGACCTTCCTAAAAGGTGTGTGGGACCCAGGGATGAGGTAGAAAAAAGACGACCACCCCAGCAGGGGGAGAGTTTGTTTCCCTGAGGTCCAATCTCTCCGATCTCAAAATGGGCTAGTTGAGTTGAGGAGCAACTTTTCAACCCTTGTTTTCTCTTGGGCTGTGTGTTTGTTGGATGCTCAGCCTAAAATGGAGAGCAAAGTTTGGCATAGTTTGGACACATGGGCTGAGGGTGTTGTGTAGGAGGCTGAACGTGAGGGTGGCCCTCAGGCTCTCGGGACGTCTTAGCCCAGAGAGAGCTGTGCAGGGAAATGTCCTATCCCTTGTATTAATCATTAAATAGATCACAGTGGGACAGTGCATCCTGGGAGAGGGGGGAACTTGCATACCAGGGTCACTCCACATGTTTGGGCTTCCGCTGTGAGCCTAGTGGCTCTGAGACTGCGTGGGGTGAAGGGGCAGCATTGCAGGGTCACCCAAGGACTTTGGGCGTTAGGAAGGTCAGTATAAAAAAATGAGAAAACTCACAAATGTTGACAGGAAATGGAGAAACTGGAACCCTGTTGAGCTGTTGAGAGATTATGAGGATAGAACAGTATGACCCTTACTGAAAAATTAAAGAAAGAACTACCATATAATTCAGCAACTTCACTTTTAGGTGTATTTATAAAGAACTGGAGAGAGGACATGAGGAGGTATTTACACAACCATGTTCATAGCAGCACTGTGTATACCAAAGAGGTGGGAAAAACTCAATGTCCATAGACCGAAAAATATAAACATGTGATATATACAAACAATAGAAGAGCCTAGAGGAGGGACATCCTGTCTGATATCACATCATGAATATTAAACTAAGTGCAACAAACTGACCACGAAGAGACAAATACTGCATGATTCCACTTCTATGAGGTATCTCAAGTAGTCAAGTTCATGAGAACAGGACGAAGAAGATAGTTACCAGTGCTTGGGGGAAAGGGTAAAAGGAATTTTCTTTAATAGATATAGAGTTTTGATTGGCAGATGAAAAAGTTTTGAAGTTCTATTGCTTAGCAATGTAAATAGACTAACCACTCCTGAACTATGTACTTGTAATTAAAATGATAAATGTTATGTTATATGTTGTTTACCACAGTTTAACAGAGATAATGGAAATACTAAACAGTGGAGAGGGTGCAGAGAAACTGGGTGTCTCACACATCACTCGTGGGTGTGTGAAACGAGATAACCGCTCTGGGCAACAGTTCTGTGGCTTCTTCAAAAATGGAATATATACATATCATGTATCCATCCGCTGTACTCCTGGACATTTATTTCAGAGAGAAGAAAACTTATGTTTACCCAGAGTCCTGTACACCATAGTTCTTGTAATAGGCAAAGTGTTGTTTATTTCTAAAGTCCACATCTGCAAAACAACGATAATGCCCCTCAGTAGGTAAATGTGAAACAAAGTGTGGGACATCGCTATGGGGAGTCTCAGTCAACAATAAAGATGATCGAGCTATTGACACATGGGCCAGTCGGCAGATTCAGAGAATAATGCTCAGTGGTCAAAGCTGATCCCCGAAGATTGTTACATGCTGCATAACTATATTACTTTCTCAAAAAAGCTGACTAACAGACAAAGACCATTGAACGGTGACAGTGGGTGGCCATGCGCCTCAGGAGGTAGCATGAGGGCAACCGTAGTGTGGATGGAAGAGACTTGTGTGTTGATGTAGGTGCAGGTTACATGAATCCCCACTAGTGACGACAGCACGTGGGACTACAGGTACCCATTTCATCATCTCACAGTATTTAAATTGTGTGACATTTATGAAAGATGCACTATTGAGGGGAAGAGGATGAAAGGTCAGTGGGACCTCTCTGTGGAACCTTTATGTTTTCCTGTGAACCTGTAAGTATTTCAAAACGAAAGCTTAAACTTTAAAGAAGGTTAATTTTTAATGTGTTCAAGACTGTTGATGTTATATCATTGACTACGTATTGGGAATTCAAGTAAAACTTAAGATTTGGTCATTGAAGAAGATAATGCAATATGCTTGTTTTATAGGAACATTTCAGAAACTTGAATTTCAGCTCTGAGTAGTCAGTCACCGCGCCAGCATCAGGGAAGCTGGCCTGAGGTCATTATCGTACTGAACTTTGTGTCTGTCAACTGGGAACCTAAACTTCTGATGAGCTTCCCATCATTGCTCTGCAACCCTGAGGAATAATTTCCCTCTTAGTTCAACTCAGGGGCAGTCTATGAGCTCAGGGGGTGATTGCATAGTTTTAATTGATGATCCTAATAACTCGTCAGGGGACACATTGAATTGGGAGAGCAATTTAGGTTCCTGTGGACATGGCAGGTTGAGTCACTGTACACAAGGCAATTTCCATTTTCGAAAACAAAGTGGCTATTTCCCAGTGAGAGATGAAGTCACTCAGCCCCTTGTCATAAACCTATTACCTGCTATTGCTCTTCGGCACAGCTGAGAACGACCCACCTGCACCGGGCCATAGGGACCGGCTTTTGTAAGGACGCTGTCGTGACTGGTGGCTCAGGGCAGCAAAGGTGATAGTGTTTTCAAAAATTTCTGCTACTTGTTTCATTCTCTTTGTTCCAAATATAAACTCTATCTTATATCTATGTTTTCTGTTTCAAGTTTCTTCTATGTGTAATTTTTTATGTACAGTAAGAGGGTTTTTTTTTTTAAGAAAATACCAGCTTTAAGAATTTCTTTTTCTGTGTTTCTTTTTCTATTTTCCTGGTTAATTATCCATCTTTAGAATTTTATTTTCTCTTTTTAAAATTTCTGCTTTGTGTTCATGGTCGTTACATTTTTCTTCTTTAATTTGTATTGATCTCAAGGAATCTCCCAAGATATAACTTAGGTATTTTTTGTTAGTTTTCTAGTTTACTCACACACACTTGATTACAGCTGCAATGTAGATGTGATGGTCCAGTAGTGTGCTCCGGGCTTTCCTCTTTGGTCAGTCGTGTTTGGCCCTTCCCCATTTAAGAGCTCTTCCAAACCGTCATTGGTTTCTAGTGCTTGCTTCTCTTTGTTGGCTGCACGCTCCCTTCAGTTTTATTCAGTTGTTTTAGGGCATAATTTAAATACTTGTCTCTGTTTTATTTCATTCAGTTCACATTGAATAATTTTCCTTACCAATAATTATATGTCATTTTCTTCATTGTTCTATTCATCTATTTCTGCAACTTATGAGAGTCCTTTTTCTCATTAATTACAGTTTTTTCTGATGTTTTGAAGGTTTTTTTCTGCCATAAAGCATTTTCAGAAGTATAACTGTTGTTCTTTTTCCATTCTCATTATCCTTTTTTTATGGCTAAGTCTACTATGTTTTAGGCTAAATTTATTTGCATGCTCCAATCCATTCTGCATAGCTATTCTGCATACCTGAAATTGAAGTTACGGTTGTGGCAATTAACTTTATCCCCTATAAGGTTTGATATTACACCCCCTTTATATTTATATATCCCTGAAACTTGATAAACTACTTCTAAGTCTTAATTTTTTTTAATGTTTTTCACTCTTAGTGAAACTGTCTGTCAATTGGATGTGTTGGCCTTGGTCGGAAGACACCAGCAGACAATGAGTTCCAATGACACCCTTTTTGGGCTCTTCCTCACCATTCAGACTGGTGTTGGTTTCATGGGGAATGGCTTGCTGTTTACATTCTACATGTACACCTTCTTAATTCTCCCTCGTCAGAAGAATCCTGCCAATGGGATCCTTGTCCACCTGACTTTGGCTAACGTTCTGATCCTCTTATTCAGTGGCGTTCCACATACAGTCTTTTCATTTGGAATGAGGCCTGCATTAGATGATATTGGGTGTAAAATAGTGCTCTATGTTCAGAGATGTACCCGAGGTATTTCTCTGAATACAACCTCCCTCCAGTGTACATTTCAGGCAGTGACTATTGCTCCAAACAACTCTAAATGGGTCTGGCTCAAGAAGACAATCTCCACACTCATTCAACCCTCTTTAGTTTTCTTCTGGGTCATCAACATGGTCATCTATCATGATGCTATCGTAAACATTGTGGCCCGATGCAGTATCACTCATGCTACATGTGGGTATTATACTCAGATTTGTAGAGTCATGTCATGTGATCCCCAGGTAGGAGTAACAATTATTAGTACAATATTCATTCAGGATTTGTTCTTTCTCTTCCTAATGGCATGGAGTAGTGTCTACATGATGACCGTTCTTTCCAGACACCACAAGACAGCCAAGCTCATCCGCAGTAGCTTCTCTTCTTCACGAAGCTCCCCTGAACACAAAACTACCACATTATTCTCATATTCATTTGCTGCTTTATTTCCTTTTACTGTACCAACAGCTTTCTTACTGCTTATTCAGAGCTAGGAAACAGGAGAAGTTGTCAGCTGTACAACGTGCATACCGTTATTTCTTCATGTTATCCAACCATCTGTCCTTTTGTACTGATTAAAAATGAGAATAGAATTTCCAGAGTGAATTTCATCAGAACATGGACCAGAGTTTTTTCTCCTTAAAGTGCATGAAATGATGATATCAACACCCCCACATCCATCTTCACCACAAGGCTCATGTGTGTGTGTCCAGAGCCACATGCTTATGAATGACCTGGATGACATTTAGTGTCCGTCACACATAGTGAGCAAGGTAAAGAAGCACAATCAATGCACTGACAACTTATGAAACATTTGAGCCATTAAATGTAATGTTTATATTACAATACTATTATATGTGCTTTAAAGTTTAAAAGAATAACATATGTAATGTGCAGTGTTTTGTAACACTGGAAAGATTATGAAATCTTAAAATTATAAAAAATATAAACCAGCTAAAGGACAGTGTTTTCTTTTGGGTGTAAGGTAGTTATAGCCCTAAGTTAGGTGTTAAATATTTGTGTCTATAAATTGTCCTCTATACTTTTGTATATCAGAAACATTATGGGTTCAATCTTTAAAAACTTTCTTTTTATATGCATATCAATTCAAAACTGCATTCAAATAGTAATAATTATTTACCTCCAATTCAGATAGAGCAGGAACACTGAGAGAAAAGCAGCATTTTGTCAGGAAGACTGTTGAGCATCCAGGCGAACCTGGGCTTTGCATTAAAGGTTAAAGAAGCAGGAGAGACAAGGCCAGTGCTCAGGGTCTCGGCACCTCCTGTTGGAAGAGCTTCTCTCCATTTCCTGTCACCCCAAAGGATGGAGGCCAAGCTTATGGAACAGCAGCAGTGTTTGTGTTAGGCGATTTGTGCTTGGGGTTAGGGGTGAAGTTAAGGTTCAGGTTCAGGCTTGAGTTCAGTGCCAGGGTTGAGAATGGGGTTTGGATTCATGTTAAGATTAGAGTAAGGGTTAGGGTAGGGTTCAGGGTCAGAGTTAGGGTTCGAGTTGTGGGAAGAGGTTGGGCTGGGCCTGGGGCCGAGTGTATGGCCTTGAGTTAGGGCTTATGGTTGGGGTTGGTGTTATGGCTGGGGTTAGATTTGTGTTGGTTATGGAAAGTAGTTAGACTTTTTTTTTTGTCTTGTGCCTTTGGGTTCATGTTTAAGATTATTTTCCCCAATTGAGGATTATAGTGTTTTACTTCTGTTTTGAAATATAGTTTTATAGATTTGCTCTTACCTCTAGTTCTGAGATGTTTTGTGTTACTTCTGTTGTATTATAAAGTTATGTTCTAACTTTTCCCTTGTTTTTCATCTTCACCCCAGAATATGCTTACTGGTTTTAGAGAGAGGGGAATGGAGAGAGGGATGGGGGGGTGGGGGTGATGGAGAGAGAACTTGGTTCTGGGATACCTGTTCCCCTGTTGAGAACGGTCATGTCATTTTTTTTTTTTTAGTGATGTAAAATGCACAGAAAAGAAATTTTACCATCTTAAACATTTTAAAGTGTACCAATCAGTGTCATCAAGTACATTCACCATGTTGTGTAACCATCACCCGATCTAGTTCTAGAACTTCTTGTGTCTGTAAAGGAGACCCCTCACTCTTTGGCAGTCACTCCCCCACCCCGACCCTGGGGCAGCCACCCATGTACTTTCATGCTCTGGGTTTCCCTTTCTGGACATTTCTTATAAATGCTGTCACGGGGTATGTGCTCTTTTGCATCTGGTGTTTCTCATGGCATTTGACATGTATTCATAGAGTCTGGAATTAGAATTGATATTTTGAGAGCTTTTGTAATCTTCTCAGACCTAGTCACACCCTCAGGGTTCTGGATAGCAGGCCCTGCGTGCAAGCCAGCCAGGCTTGCAGTCGCCATCTCCCAAGGGACGTGCTCAAAGGACCCATGGGGTGGTCAGGAGGGCGGGTGAGGGAGTGTCCTCCTCGCTTGTCTCTGAGTTTCTTGCTAATTATAAGGTCAAAGTTTAAAGATAGAGACTGTTCAAAGCAGCAAGGGAAAGAAGTTAGTTAGCAGGTGGTTGTCAGATGGGAGGGGAAGAGGTGAGAATGGGTGAAGAGATGACGGGGTTAAGAAGTAAGGAAGGGTAGTTAGAGAATAGCCATGGAGGTAGAAACTGTGTATAGGAAATGGAATAAGCAAAGAAGTTACACATATGACCCATGGACATGAACAATGGTGGGGGGATTGCCTTAGGGAGTAGGGGGTGCTGGGTGGAGAGGTCAAAGGGGAAACTGAGAAGAAGGGTAATAGAATAATGAACAATATAATTAAAAATTACAATAAAATATAAATATATAGATATTTATCTATACATTTGGTGATTCCCAGTATCACAACTAGGATGACTGTTGAAACTGAATATGACCAGGGGAGTAGACGACAGCCCAATATCAATTTTAGCAGCCTGATTTTTAGGGATACATTGTAATAACATAGGACAAGTCCTTTTTTTTTTTTTTTGTAGGAAATACACAATAAAATACTCGGGGATAATGAGGTATCTGGTTAGCCTTTTCTAAGAAATTATGTCCTAATTTTCTCAGTTTGTGGTTCTTTCAAAATTACTGGAAAACATTGAATTTAGAACTTCCACTGAGAAAAGACTAGGCCTAACTGGTTTCACTTGGTTCCTTCTATCAAGAACTTAAGGAATAGTTAAAGTCAGTATAATGGAAAATCTTTCATCCAATAGAGAAGGAAATACTATGCAAATCATTTCTATGAGCTCAGCATAGCTCAGATTAGACAAAGATATTATAAGAATAGAAAATTACAGACCAGTCTGCCTCATGAACATAGGTGCTAAAACCCTCTACAAAATATGAGCAAATCAATGCAGCAATATACAATAGGTCACTGCTGTCTGGTGAAGTGACTGGCATTTGACTTAACTGCTCTGATTCCAGCTTTCCTCTTTCCCCTCCCTGAGAATAGTGCCTGGAATGTTGTTGATGACAATTTCTCCCTCCCCTTCTCAGTGGGAGGCATAGACTTTGGGCCAGTAACAGGACTTTCTCCCATGGGGCATAGCTCAGCCTTAAAAGGAAAGGAGAGATTGGTGTAGCTTGGACACACATGGGCTGAGGGTGTTGTGTAGGAGGCTGAGCATGAGGGTGTCCCTCAGGCTCTCGGGACTTCTCAGCCCACAGGGACCTGTGCGGAGAAATGTCCCAGCCCTCGTATTAATCACTAAGTAGGTCACAGTTGGGCAGTGTGCGTATCCTTGGACGGGTGGAACGTGCATTCCAGGGTCACTCCACATGTTTGGGGCTCCCCTCTGTGAGCCGAGTGGCTCTGCGACTGCATGGGGTGAAGGGGCAGCATTGCAGGGTCACCCAAGGACTTTGGCCTTTCTGAAGTTTGCTATACAAAGTGAGGAATTACAAGTGTTGGTGAGGATGTGGAGAATCGGAACCCTGGTGCACTGTTGAGGGATTATGGAACGTTAATACCAGGATGGAACACTATGACCCTTCGTCAAAATTGAAAATTCAAGTGCCGTATGATTCAGCAATTTCTCTTTTAGGCCTATTTAGAAAGGTTTGAAGACATGGGATATTTGCACAGCCATGTTCATAGCAGCTCTATGCACAGTAACGAAGAGGTGGAACAAACTCAAGTGTCCACAGATGGATGAAAGTAAAAGAAAATGTGATATATACATGCAATGGAATAGCCATAAAGGAGGGACATCCTGTTCCATGTGACATCGTGAACATTAAGTTAAGTGCGCTGAATCATTCATAAGGGGACATATAAAGTGTGATTCCACTTATATGAGGTATCTCAAGTACACAAGTTCATAGGAACTGGGAAAGGAATGATAGTTACCAGTGCTTGGGGGAACGAGGAAAAGGGATTGTGTTTAATAGGTATAGAGTTTTTGATTGGCAGACGGAAATGTTTTAAAGCTCTATTGGTTAGCAAGGCAAATATGCTAAACATCCCTGAACCATGTTCTTTTAATAAAATGTAAATTTCACGTTCTGTGTTATTTACCACAAGTCATCAAAGGCAATGGCAATAGTAAATGTCGGAATGGGGTATAGGAACTGGATCTCTCATAGACTGCAGGTGGAAATGGGAAATGAGATCGCCACTGTGGGAAACAGTGTTGTGGCCTCTTAAGAAATGGAATATATACATATCATATGTCCATGCATTGTACTCCTGGATAGTTAAGTCAGTGATGTGAGAACTCCTGTTTACTCCTAATCCTGTACACTGTTGTTCTACTAGACAAACTGTTGTTTATTTCTAAAAGCCAAAACTGCAAAACCAGTCTAATGTCCCCCTTCAGGTAAATGTGACACAAAGAGTGGGACATCCCTGTGGGGAATCCCACTCAACCATGAAGACAATTGAGCTATTGATACATGGGACAGTAGGATGGATTCTGAGAATAATGCTTGGTGTCAAAGCTGGTCCCCAGAGACTTATGCTGCACAGTAATATGATTATAATTATCCAACTTTCTCAAGAAAGCTCACTTAGACAGAGACGGAACAGACACTGGTGACAGTGGGTGGCCGTGCGCCTCAGGAGGCTGCCTGAGGGCAACCTCAGTGTCCTCTAGATGGAAGAGTCTTGTGTGTTGGTGCAGGTGGTGGTTACATGAGTCTCCACTGGGATGACAGCAGGTGAGACTCTAGGTACCCATTTCACCTTCTCACAGTATTTAAATAGTATGATAATAATGGAAGATGCACCATTGGGGGGGAAATGGATGGAGGGTCAATAGAACATCTCTCTACCACTTTATGTTTTCCTGTGAACCTGTAAGTATTTCAAAATGAAAGCTTAAACTTTAAGAATGCTAATTTTCATGTGTTTAAAGCACTTGATGCTACATCATTGAATATGTTTTGGGAATTAGGGTAAAACTTAAGATTTGGTCATTGAAGAAGACAATGCAATATGTTTGTTTTATAGGAACATTTCAGAAACTTGAAATTCAGCTCTGAGCTTGTCAGTCACCACCCCAGCATCAGGGAGGCTGCCCTGACCCAGTATCGCACTGAACTTTGTGACTGTCAGTTCGGAGCCTAAACTTCTGATGAGCTTCCTATCATTGCTCTGTAACCCTGAGGAATAATTTCCCTCTTAGTTCAACTCCGAAGTGCTCCATTAGCTCACGGGGTAATTGCATAGTTCTAATTGATGATCCTAATTTCTCATCAGGGGACACATTGCATTGGGAGAGCATTAGTTTTCTGTGGACATGCCAGGCTGAGTCACTGTACACAAGGCAATTTCCATTTTGGATAACAAAGTGGCTACTTCCCAGTGGGAGATGAAGTCACTCAGCCCCTCATCATAAACCTGTTATCTGCTCTTGCTCTTCGGCACAGCTGAGATAGACCCACCTGCACCGGGACACAGGGACTGGCTTTGGCAAGGATGCTGCTGTGGCTGGTGGGTTGGGGTTGCAAACGAGAGAGTAAGTGTCTTCTATGATTTCTCCTTCTTGTTTTATTCTCTTCATTCCAAATGTGAACTCAATCTCATATCTATGTTTCCCTGTTTCAGCTTTCATCTATGTGTAATTTATGTATAGTAAGAGTTTCTTTTTTTTTTTTGAGTAAATACCAGCTTTATGAATATCTTTTTTTTCTTTCTATTTTCCTGGTTAATTATCCATCTTTAGAATTTTATTTTCTCTTTTTAAAATTTCTGCTTTGTGTTCATGGTCATTTTCATTTTTCTTCTTTAGTTTGCATTGATCTCAAAGAATCTCCCAAGATATAACTTAGGTATTTTTTGTTAGTTTTCTAGTTTACTCACACATACTTGAGTACAGCTGCAATGTAGATGTGATGGTCCAGTAGTGTGCTCCGGGCTTTCCTCTTTGGTCAGTCGTGTTTGCCCCTTCCCCATTTAAGAGCTCGTCTGAAGAGTCATCGATTTCTAGTGCTTGCTTCTCTTTCTTGGCTGCCTGCTCTGTTCAGTTTTATTCAGTTGTTTTAGGGCATAATTTAAATACTTGTCTCTGTTTTATTTCATTCAGTTCACATTGAATCATTTTCCTTACCAATAATTTTATGTCATTTTCTTCATTGTTCTATTTATCTACTTCTGCAACTTATAAGAGTTCATTGTTTCATTAAAGTATTTCTCATCTTTCGAAGATTTTTTTGTTATAAAGCATTTCCCAGTGTATGATTTTTGTCTTTTTCTGTCCTCATTATCCTTTTTTTTTTTTTATGATTAACTCTACTATCTTTTAGGCTAAATTCATTTGCATACCTTAATCCATTCTGAATACTTGAGACTGAAGTTATGGTTGTGGCAAATAACTTTCTCCCTTATAGAGTTTGATATTACATCCCCTTTATATTTATATATCCCTGAAACTTGATAAACTACTTCTAAGTCTTAATTATTTTTAATGTTCTTCACTCTTAGTGAAACTGTCTGTCTATTGGATGTGTGGCCTTGGTCGGAAGATCAAAGGGAGACCAACAGACAATGGTTTCCAGTGACACCCTTTTTGGGATCTTCCTCAGCATTCAGACTGCTGCTGGTTTCTTGGGGAATGGCTTGCTGTTTACATTCTACATGTACACCCTCTTAATTCTCCCTCGTCAGAAGAAGCCTGCCGATGGGATCCTTGCGCACCTGACTTTGGCTAATGCCCTGACCCTCGTATTCAGAGGGGTTCCACATATAATCCTTTCATTTGGAATTAGGCCTGCATTAGATGATATTGGGTGTAAAACAGTGCTCTATGTTCAGAGAGTTACCCGATGTATTTCTTTGAACACAACCTCCCTCCAGAGTACATTTCAGGCAGTGACTATAGCTCCAAGGAATTATAAATGGTCCTGGCTCAAAAAGAAAATCTCTACACTCATTCAGCCGTCTTTAGCTTTATTCTGGGTCATCAACATGGTCCTCTATTCTGAGGTTATTGTAAACATTGTGGCCCGGGGGAATGTCACTGATGCTACATGTGGGTATTATACTCAGATTTGTAAATACACGTCATGTGATGACCAGGTAGTGGTAACAATTCTCAGTACAATGTTCATTCAGGATTTGTTCTTTTTGTTCCTAATGGCATGGAATAGTGTCTACATGATGACTGTCCTTTCCAGACACCACAAGACAGCTCAGCATGTCCGCAGTCGCACCTCGTCATCCCGAAGCTCCCCTGAACACAAAGCGACCCACATTGTTCTCATACTGGTTTGCTGCTTTGTCTTCTGTCACTGGAGCAACATCTTTCTTATCATGTATACAGAGCTAATAGGTACGAGAAGCTGGCAGCTGGAGAACGTTAATAACTTTATTTCATCATTTTACCCGACCATTGTCCCATTCGTCCTGATTAAAAATGAGAATAGAATTTCCAGAATGAATTTCATCAGTACAAGAAGCAGAGTTTTTTCTCCGTAAAGAACATTAAATGATTATATCAACCACCCACCACAGCGCATCCGTCTTCACCACAAGGCATCCAGTGCCACATGCTTATCAATGGTCTGAGTGACACATTCAGTCCCCGTTGTACTTAGGTAGCAAAAAAAGAAGCATAATCAATTCATTGTCAATTTATGAAGCATCTGAGATGTTAAAAGTACTGTTTATATTACAATACTATTATATGTGGTTTAAACTGTAAAAGAATAACACATGTAATGTGAAGTGTTTTATAATGCTGGAAAGATTAGGAAATCATATAATTATAAAAAATGATGAATCAGTTTCTTTTTAGTGTAAGGTGGTAATAGCACTAAGTCAGGTGATGAAATATTTGTGTCTATAAATTGTCCTCCATACTTTTGTATTTCAGAAATATTTTTGAATTAGTTTTTTAAAAAGATTCTTTATATGTGTATATCATTTCCAAACTGTATTCAAATGCGTAATAATTATTTACCTCCAATTCAGATAGAGCAGGGACACTGAGGGGAAAGCAGCGTTTTGTCAGGGGGACTGTTGGGCATCCAGGCGAACCTGGGCTTTGCATTAAAGGTTAGAGAAGCAGGAGAGACAAGGCCAGTGCTCAGGATCTCGGCTCCTCCTGATGGAAGAGCTTCTCTCCATTTCCTGTCACCCCAAAGGATGGAGGCCAAGCTTATGGAACCGCAACAGAGTTTGTGTTAGACAGTTTGTGCTTGGGGTTAGGGGTGAAGTTAAGGTTCGGGTTCAGGCTTGAGTTCAGTGCCAGGGTTGAGAATGGGGTTTGGATTCATGTTAAGATTAGAGTAAGGGTTAGGGTAGGGTTCAGGGTCGGAGTTAGGATTTGAGTTGTGGGAAGAGGTTGGGCTGGGCCGGTCCGAGTGTATGGCCTTGAGTTAGGGCTTATGGTTGGGGTTGGTGTTATGGCTGGGGTTAGATTTGTATTGGTTATGGAAAGTAGTTAGACTTTTTTTTTTGTCTTGTGCCTTTGGCCTCATATTTAAGAATTTTTTCCTAACCGAGGATTATAATATTTTAATTCTGTTTGGATATACACTTCTGTAGATGTGCTCTTACCTTTAGTTGTGAGATGTTTTGTGTAACGTCTGTTGTTTTATTAAGTTATGTTCTAACTTTTCCCGTGTTTTTCATCTTCTCCCCGGAACATGCTTATTGATTTTGGAGACAGGGGAATGGAGAGAGGGACGGGGCGTGCGTGGGATGGAGAGCGAGCTTGGTTCTGGGATACCTCTGTCCCTGTTGAGAATGGTCACGTCATTTTTTATTCTTTTTACTGAGGTCAAATGCTCAGAATATAAGTTTTACCAATTTTATCACTTTAAAGTGTGATAATGATTGACATTGACACACTCACCACGTTGAGTAACAATCACTCTCTCTAGTTCCAGATCTTTTTTTCTCCCCAAAAGAGACCCCTTACCCTTTAGCAGTCACTCCCCACAGCCCGTGGCAGCCACACATCTACCTTCATGCTCTGGGTTTGCCTGTTCTGGTCATTTCCTGTAAATGTCCTCAGGGGTTTGTGCTCTTTTGTATCTGGCCTTTGTCTGGCATTTGACATGCCTTCAAACTGGCTGGAATTAAGGTTGCTGTTTTGGGAGCTTTTGTAAACAACTCAGACCTAGTCACACCCTGGGGGTTCAGGGCCCATGGCCCTGCCTGGGAATGCCGGCCAGGCTCGAGATCCCCGTCCCCTGGGGGAGCGTCCTAAGGAGCCATGGGGCGGTCGGGAGTACCGGCCAGGGGGTGTTCTCAGCGCTTGTCTCGCAGTTTGCTGCAGGGGTGCCACGCCAGTGCCTCTGCAGCCGCTTCAGGCCACGCGAAGACCTGACCATTTCTGGAGCAAGGGCTCTGTCCAAGAAGTGTCCCCTTCACAGGTCTCCCGATTCCTTGTCCTCAGGAACATCTGCCCACCCCGAGGGGCCTCCGATGCTATAAACAGACTCTGTGTCTGAGGCGTGCACCTTAAGATCCCGTTCCAGGAGGCCGGTTGAGCACACACCTGCTGCTGGTCTTCTGCCCTGGGGCCTTGGCTTATCCCGCCTCTGACTTCGGTTCAAAACCTGATCACTTTTGGACTCACGAATGTGGAGCCTTTTCTATTTGTTCACGTGTGAGTGTCCATTAAATGGATCCTGAAAGAACAGGAATACATTAGTGACTCTAGGTTCTGAAAGCACAAGAAGCACCTAAGTATTCAATGTCTTCTTAGGTGTTTTGAGGTAAGGTAGAGAGTGGAGGAGAAAAAGGGGACTGGGTCAAGGTGAGCCTTGAGCTGCATGGGGCCAGGCTGTTCCAGCTGTTAGACCTCAAAAGAGCTTTTTAAAAAATACTAGAAAGATGGAAGAAATAGACAAAACAGGTTTCCTTTCAATAAATAAAGTAAGAATGAAAAGAACACATCCTTGTCACAATCAGATTAATAAGTATTAAAAATAGTGGTAATATCAAGTATTGGTGACTGTGAAAGGAACTGGTATTCAGAGACTCTTTTTCTTCATCTTCTTAAAGCAGACCGTGTAGCATACGTTGCAATGCTGGTTTGGTGGAGGTGTATTCCTTCAGCCTTCTTTGTCTAGGCAACTCCTCATTTTACCTTCCATTTTCATTGAGGGCCTTGCTGGGTAGAGCAGTCTAGGTTGCAGGCTTTTGCTTCGATGACTTGGAATATTTCTTGCCATCTCCTCCTGGCCTGTAGTGATTCTGTTGAGAAGTTAGGTGCCAGCCGTCCCGGGACGCCCCTGTATGTTACTACCTCTTTCTCCCTTTCTGCCTTTAGGATCGATTCTCTGTTCTTCTTCGATATTTGCCATTTTGATTACGACGTGTCTTGGAGTCACCCTGATTGGCTTCCTCTTGAGTGAGACCCACTGTGCTTCCTGGACTTGTGTGATTTTTCTCTCCTCAAATGAGGGAAGTTTTCCATCGTTACTTTTTCAAACAGGTTCTGTATTCCTTCTTCCTCTTCTTCTCCTTCTGGTATCCCCATTATACAGATAGGTTTACGTTTCAGGGTGTCGTGAATTTTCTTCAACGCGTCATCATTTTTTTTAGATTCCTTCTACTGTGTTCTTCAATTCAGAAATTGTATTCTTCATATCCTCTGATCTCTTGTTGATAGTTTCTATGTCCTTTTTCATGCTGTTGTAGTTTTAGTAAGTGCCTCATAGTTTCCCTGTAGTGTTTTGTAGTTCCCTCTGATGTCCCTGACCTCAATGAGCTTCCTTAGAAGTATTGTTTTGAACTCTATATCTGATAGTTTACTTGCTTCTCTTTCTTTTAGTTCTCTTTGTGGGGATTCATCCTTTCCCTTCATTTGGGGGTTGTTTCTTTGTGTTCTGATTATTTGTGAGACTCTTCTTTTTTGCCTCTGCTTCTTAAATGGACCTGTCTTGATTTCCTGACTTTGTGGTGTGAACTTGTAGGGTAGGAGACCGCTGTTTTTTCTTTCTGGATCTGCCTCTGGTGATGTCAGATGTTGACCCAGTCTGACCTTAGGCAGTCAGTCTGTTCGAGACTTCCAGGAACCTACTGTGTGCGGCTGCCTCCTTCAGTTGTTAATGTAGTCACTCTGTACTCAGCGGTCAGGCTTAGGAACGGCAGGATGAGGCAGAATCGCTCCTGAGGGTGGGGTGATGGGGTCGTCTCTTGGGAGTCGTCTGCCTGAGCCATATGGCTGGAGCTTTGTGGAGGAGGAGTCAGCACCGGGACACCTTCGACCTCTCTCTCCATTCTCCCCCTAATGCCTCCTTCCCCAGTCTCTCCTCAAGTATCTATAGGGCAGTCTGTGGCCCCTTTAGCCAAGGATCTACTATCTGTGGCTATTACTCTGTACTCAGCAATCAGGCTTTAGTACCGGGGGCCAGGGGAGAGTCCCTCCTGGCATCGGGGTAATTGGGTCGTGTCAGGCTGCTGCTGCTCAGAGGAGTGGTCGGCCTGAGCAAGATGGTTGCTGCCTCATGGGGAATGAGTCTGCAGTGCGATCCTGCTGGCTACTCTCTGAGTTTTCTCCCAAAAACCTCCTTCCCCATTCTCACCTCAAGTGCCTCGAGCCCACTCTGCCTCCGTCTTTTCTGGGGATCAGGGTTAATGGTTGTAAATAAAAATGTTGTTTGGTCCTTAAAAAGGCTCTTTGCGTCTCTGGCTGCCTTTCTCCAGCACAGAGCCACCGTACCACTTTTCCCAGCTGGTTGTGGTGTGTGCACTTCTTGGGCTCTGGAGCTGTACGCTAGAGATCCCCACCTATGTTTAGACCCTGCTCTCCTTTGGGGGATCCCACTGGCTGTGTCCCCATGGGAAGTTGCCGTGTCCCCTCTCATGGCAAACAGAGAAGTGTTTGTGATGGCTTGTGTTTTTTCCCCCCATACATGACAACTGGGTAGGAGATGCGGGATTCAGAGCCCTGCTACCTCCTCAGATGGCTCTGGATAGTTACGCCCAATTACAGGAGGGCACACTCGACACTCTCCACAATGCGTTGCCCCCTGAACAACCCCACCCATCAATGATGCAGTGGTCACTTGACTAGGGCTGCAACTACAAGGGCTATAAACAGGGATGATGCCTAAGTAAAAAATTGGAACTATGGTGTTCAGCTTATGTCATATTTCCTAAGAACCTAATGGGGCAGATGTTCCCCATCTGACAAGACTGGGGTAAACAGTGAATGCACTCTATTGCCTGATGGTAAGGGTAGCCCACTGAATTCAGCACTTTTTAACCTCACCCTCCATGAATATGAACAGACTAAGAAGGAGATCCTTGTTGGACTCCTATAGTGCCTGTAATCTCAGTTCCCAGGTGGGGAACCTAAGATCTCCTCCAAAGGTAGAAGTGTTTGGGTATAAACAGACAGAGGGGAAACTAGTAAGTATGCATAAGGGATGAAAATGTGAGTTAAGTAATAAGAGAAGTCCTCTAGTATAGTAACACCTCAAAGAAGGCTCAGAGCAACAGATGATAATGCCTCTTATCTCGATCATATCAGATGCCTAGAGGGTGAAGCCATGTATTTCTGAGACTACTCCTTTCTGCTTTTGGAACTGGGTGAGGTCAAATT